ACATAAATTACAAATAAATAATAAATACATTAAATAATAATATAATAAAAATAAATAAAATTAATATTCTACAACATGATGCAAAGTATTATATAAGGTAATAACATGACTATTCTTTATTCTTGAATACTTCATTATTCTCATTTGTAACTTCAAGTACTTCACTATTAAATAATAGTACACCAGTAGAAAGTTGTAGAAGCTAAGCGAGTGTGTCTGTGCAAGAACATAAATTAAAGGAAATATATATAATATTTTTAAAAAATGGATAATGTTATACTGATAATTGATATGCTAAAGGAACTATGATTCTAATTACACTGGTCGAAAATTGATAAAACATACACATATCAGATACCCGATATGTGCATGGTGTTTCCCTAATATCGGACATATATCGGGTACCCGATATGTATAGAAAATATTTTATATATATATCGGGTACCCGATAAGTGTAAAAAAATATTTTCTACACATATCGGATACCCGATATATACCCGATATTAGGGAAACACCATGCACATATCGGGTACCTGATATATATATGTTTTATCAATTTTTGACCAGTGTTAGACTTATTAGACCATTACCAACTCTTACCTATTACAATTAGAAATGCAAAGTATCAATTCTACCCATAGTGAAAGTAAAAGTTCCAAAATAATCACTGTTAATAAAAGTCTCAAAATAACCACTGTTAATGAAAGCCTCGAAATATCCATTTTTAATGAAAGTTCTGAAGTAATCACTATTAATGAAAATCCTGAAACAATTAATAAAAGTTTTGAAATAATCACTACGAATAAAAAATGTAAAAGAAACAAGTCACAATCATGGATTTTTAAAGAAGATCATTTTATTAAACATGATTTTTAGAATTGTAAATATATTTGTTTTATAAAAACTTTGAATTTCATTATTTAATATTATTATTTTTTATTATAAATTATTTTAATTAATATTTATGTCATATAATTCATTAGAGAATTATATCCAATGTATATACTATAAGAGTGTTTTAAAGTATGATAACACGACAGGAATTAGCACCTTAATTCGTCATATGAAAAATACAAAATATAAAAAATATATGAAGGTCGATGAATCATAACAAACGTTATAATTATCTGTATCAGGCCTTGTTACTTATAAATTTTCACAAAAAAGAAGTCATCAAGATTTGTCAAAAATACTTATTATACATACATATCCATTTCATATAGTTGAACATAAGAGATTCTTAATGTTTGTTAATAATTTGCAGTCACAATTTAAAGTAATAAGTGAAAAAATGGCATGTGAAGATTGTAAAAATATTGTTAAAGATTTTAAGATAAAAGCCAATATGATGATATAAGAAGTTTCTGGATATCTGAGTTATATAACTGATTTGTGAATATCGAATTAGAATCTTGGATATATGATCGTTATATGTTATTTTGTCAATAAGAATTGAAAACTTCAAAAATTAGTTTTAGCTTTCAAAATGATTCTCATACTACATATAGAAATTGCCATTAACAAAATACTTTTTAAGTGTTTTGATAATTGGAATATTACATTAAGAATATTAGCCATCACTATGGATAATACAATCAGTAATGATGCTGCAATAAATAATATAAAGCACAAGCTTGATAATCAAAATATGCTTGTTGCCAATAGAAGTTTATTGTATTAATGTTGTATACTTATATATTAAATCTCATAGTTAATGATGATCTCAAAATGGTTAAAAATATTATAAGTAAAATCTAAGAATGTGTGAAGTGGATCCGTAATTCACAACATCAACAACAAAACTTTGAGGATGTTGTGATTGGATGTTGTATTGAACTTGTATCAAATTAATGACCAACTTTTGACATGCCCATTCGCTAGAATTCAGTATACTTAATGTTATTCTATATAAAAGTGTATTTGAGTATCTTGTATTACGAGATATTAATTTTGAACAAATTATACCTTCTAATGAAGATTAGGAAAAAACTAAGAATATTTGTGATTTCTTGAAACCATTTTATGAAGGTAATAATAAATCTTTAATATGTTTGGAGTTTTATTTATCATCAGGAAATTTTTTGAGGGTAAATATATTTAGATATATTTGAAAATCGAAAAAATTCAAATATATGTAAATATATTCGCATAAATTCACGAATTTATTTGAATTTTTTTAATTCTCAAATATTTGGAACAAATATATCTATATATTTTTCGATTTAGAAAAAATCTGAATAAATTCATGAATTTATGTGAATATATTTGCATATATTCAGATTTTTTGATTCTCAAATATATTCGGATATATTTACCGCATTAGGAAATTTTTGGGAACAAATATATCTGAATATTTTTTGATTTAGAAAAAATTCGGATAAATTCACAAATTTATGCGAATATATTTGCATATTGGATTTTTTCAATTCTCAAATATTCAGATATATTTGAAAATTATTTTAAAAATTTGTAAGATATTTAATGAGAAATGATACTGAAATTCTATTTTTAATTCTTTGTAGTTATAATCTTTAACAAATTTTTAAATAGATAAAGATCTATTTAGTTCTAAAAAAATTGTTGGATAAAAACATGCTAATAATTTATTTTGTTCATTTAGTTTCGCAAATTTATATTTATTTATGTTATATTTATTTTTATTTACATTATCAATTATTTTTTTTATTAATTATTTTATATTATTTATAGATCATCATCATTTTCATCATC